TAGGATGTTGTTCTGTGTCATCAAGTTGATTTTCAACTTGTAGTGACCCTATGTGACAGTGTAGAAATGCCCCATAGGGTTTTCTAGGCTGTTATCTTTACGGAAGCAGATCACCAGGTCTTTCTCTCATGGAGCCACTGGGTTGGTTTGAACCACCAAGCTTTCCGTTAGCAGCCAATGACTTAACCGTTGTGCCACCACTGAAAAAGAGGAAGACCCTTCACAAGATGAACTGACACAGTGGCTGCAACAATGGGCTCAAACATACCTACTATTGTGAGGATGGCACAGCAACAGGCAACGTGTCATCCTGTTATACATGGAGTCACTATGAGTCAGAGCCGACTTGACAGCATCTAACAATAATAACAAATTTATATGGAAGTTCTGTTAACAAAATGTTCAAGCATTGACATAAGAAGTCACTCTCCTCGTGCATAGACAGTCAGATAAGATTTGGATAAGGTTTTTAAGTTCACCTGCTCCCTACTCACAGGTGAATTGACTTTCAGGAATAGGAAGAAATGAGACTCTAAGTGAGAAATTTTGCTCTGAGATGAGTGGTCCTTGATTAAAGGCACTTTCCAAATGACCAAGATAAGATAATCCTGTGGTCTCTGCCCGTCAGAATGGTTTTAAATTGATATTTATTCACTGTTGTTGTGGTGTGCCGTCAAGTCAATTCCAACTCACAGCGACCCTATAGGGCAGAGTAGAACTGCCCCATAGGTTTTTCCAAGGAGCAGCTGGTGGACTGGAACTGCCAACCTTTTGGTTAGCAGCCTGAGCTCTTAACCACCTCGCCATCAGGGCTACATTTATTTACTAGCTTTTTAATTTTCTATTCAATTTATCCCTAAATCTTAGAACAAAATGGCCCTGCAAAAAGAAAAATCTCCATAAAGAAAGTTACTAGTCAAGACAGAATATGCCTGTAAAGATTAGTATTCAGAGATGTATACTGTGAAATGCCACACAAAGACAAATCTGAAAAAAAAATTTCAGGTAGTCTATTTGTTCAGTGCATTTTCAAATGTGAAAGGAGCCAGGAAAAGGAGAGAGAAGAAACCCATATCCTAAAATCAGGAGAAAATCAGCTTTAAGTGCGGCAGCCTCAGGAAGGCTTCCCACGAGCCAGGCATTTCTTCAGAGGATTCCCTTAACACAGGCTCACAGTGCTCACCGACAGTCAAACCATGTCAACTGTCAAATCAGAGGAAAAGTGAATAGACGCATTAGGGCTGTGTCATGCCTGTGATAGATATTATCCCAACAGGACTTGTAAACAAGTCATAGCTACACCAATAAAAAAAACAACCAACCAACCAAACCCGTTGCTGTTGATTCCGACTCATAGCAATCCTATGAGACAGAGTAGAACTGCCCCCTAGGGTTTCAAAGGAGCGCCTGGTGGATTCGAAGTGCTGACCTTTTTCATTAGCAGCTGTAGCTGTTAACCACTGCACCACCAGGGTTTCCAGCTACACCATAAGGGAGGGAATAAAAGAAGCTGCTTAAAAACAGGACTGGTGTGTCACTTCCCTTCGCCATTCCAGATGGGCCAGAGTCTGGTATTCTTATTCAGAGGGTCCTGGAAATGTAGTGGAAGAAGCCAGGGGGTGGGGAAAACCCAAGTACTCCTGCATCCAACTCAAACCTTGGAATTGCCCAGGGACTGGCCCTCAGAGTGATGTCAAGTTTTTGTCAGATTCACTGTTTCCAGTCCTGTAATAACTCCTCCACCTTAACCAAAATCTTGGCAGCTAAGGAGTCTACCAGGCTGAAGTCAAGTAAGCCATGTGGTAAATGTTTTAAAACTGAAGCCTGTCCAGAAAGGACAGACCCAGGAAAAAGGAATGAACTCTTTTCAGTTCCTGGGAGGCTGGCTCTGAGTTATGAAAGACAGAAGAGAGCTGTGTCCAAGATGAAGGCCAGGGCAGGTACCAGACAGGCCTGGGTGGGAGTTTAAGGATGCAGAGAAGTGCTGAGGCGGAGAACAACCCTTCTCTCATCTGCTTAGCTGAAGTTTCACTCATCTGGGGAGCCACAGACATGCCAGCAATTGGACATTTCTTGCAGTAAACACAGGACTTCTCCAAAAGCAAATGTCCAAATAAAGTGTAAGGAAAATATGAGTGAGCGAGTTGATTCTGTAACTTTAAAGAGATTTAAGAACAGATCATTGCACCTTGATTCAAATAAACTGTAAAAAAAAAAAAGAAAAAAAAAATTATGAGACAAAAAGGGGAAATTAAATGCTGACTTGATATTGGATATCATAGAGTTATTTTTTGTGTGATAATGGCATTTAGTTATTTTTTTACATGCATTCCCTTCTTTCACATCGTCTGGAATATTTTTGGGTAAAATGCTGTCTGGGATTTACTTTGAAATAAGCCAGTGGAGATGGGAGAGAGGAAACAAGATGGCCATGAGTTTGGAATTGTTGAAGCTGGGTGAAGAATTGTGAGGGTTCATTATGCTAGTCTCTCGACTGTTGTACATGCATTATTTTTCCCATAATAAAAACTAAAATGAAAATGAAAATAAAGCAAGTGCTGCCTCAGGGAGGGTTGGGACTGTCAGGTATTTCTCTTTGGGTCTTACTCTCCTCAGCCCCCTCAGTGATGGGAAGGGGAGATCTGTGGTGAGAGTGAGGAAGCTGAACTCGTCTACTGGGACTTCCTCTTCTGCTCAACAGCAGCAGGAAGGCCCAAGCCCACCATGGTGAATCAGGTGTTTTGTGTTGGTGGAAAGCCTTCTTTACAACCTTTAGTGTCTGCAACTGCTCTTCCACTAAGTGACAAAACAAAGAACTTGGCCAATCTATATCAATTAAAAAGCCCAGCAGCAGCAACGTGAGTTTAGCTGAGCAGCTCATTGTCTTATTGAAACCTGTGAATAGTGGTTTTAGGGATGTCTTATGCTGGCAAGCATTCCTAGTTTGGGTGATTGGATTTACTACCCAATAATCCACAGGGTCCTCCAGGGAGCAGCAGGCCACTACAGTGGACTAACACATGGACACACTGACAACCAGCAAGGGCCTCTGCCTCAATGCAGCAGGGAAGAGAGGAGATGACCGCCCAGCAGAGAGAAGGACAAGGTCACTGACACAAGACAGAAAAGAGGCAGCAAAACCTACTGCACCTACTTGGAAGTTTTGCTGTGCCTCTCTCTTCCCTAGTGGGAGAAGGAAAGCCTCATCCTCTGCCTGCACTGCCCGGCTCCCTGCCCTGGCGCACTCCTCCTTCCCCAACAGTTGCCACAGCAGTACCACTTTCCAGGAGGCTGCAGGTACTATAACAGGCCTTGGACAAGCAAGGATCCAAGGGCCACTCAGCTTCCTCACTCTTCCAGATCTTCCCTTCCCGCTACTGACCAGAAGGTGAGGAGAGTAACACCCAGACCAAGCCAGAGAAACTGTCAGAGCCCGAGACTGATCTGCATGGACACTGGGATGCATATTCTAATAGCTTGATGGCTGTGAGGAGCCCTTATGATTGGTATCTTTGCAAAAACAGAATAAAGTTAAAATAACCAGGTTAATTGAGATATGTATACTGGTGGCTCAAAAAGAAACGACTTTCACAAGAACAAAGTGACAGCACTTTAATAATTTAAACAGAACCAACTTCAGGAACATACATACACATACATAAAATTCAAACAATTTAATCGAACAGTGTATTTAAATACATTAAATTTCTAAAAATCTCAAAAAAATGACTCAAGGTCATGAATATGAAAAGGTAATTTTGAAGTACTACAGACCACAGTAAAATAAATAAGGTAATTACTTTGCAACCAATAAGAGAACAGACTGCAAATACATTAGATCTTTATGAGAAGACTTCTAGGAAATGTCAGAACAAAAGAGTCATTAAAAAGGAATATAAATGATCTCAGAAAGATAAATTTATAGCTAACAATTTCTTTGGTCCTCTAAGTCACATCTGTTTTTACTTATATGTTTAAATATTATGCAGGATAACATTTATACCATGTTCAATTTAAAGAAGAACTCAGAATCAACCAATACTCTACAAATTCCAAATATAGAAAAGGCTAGAAAATATTAGAAGTAGGGAAGAATTAAAAACCAAAAACAAAGACACCTCTGCCATCTTGCCCCATCATAAGCCAAATGACATCAAAGTGGCAAAGGTAAGACTTAACAGAACTTCCAAAGTTAAATCAATTCTTCTTAAGGTAATGGGATAAATCTGAAGAGTACTATGTTGACCAAATAAGAGACTTCCCTGTGGAATTACTGTATTTGTACTTTTGCAAGAGCTGTTTTGTTTTGTTTTAATTTGGCCCACACTGCCCCAGTGAAGGAAATTTTATGATAATCAGTAATAAGGCAACAGCTTCCTAGACTAAAATACCTATATCACCTGTACAGAGTTACACTGAAGACTAAACCCACAGGGACCACATGGAAAACCAGTACCATAGGTTTCCTGGTACATTTTCACAAACACCAACAATACAGCTTTCATAGAACAGTAGACAACTCTCAAAATGCAGTCTACAATTAGTTCATTCTATATTCTCTCATGTTCATGGAAGCTATGGTTCGGCAGACCCCAAAATGATGGACACCCTTAAAAATTTCTGGAAATATTTAGAAAAATATGTGACAAGATTTTAAAAAATGTTCTGAGGCATCTACATGGAACACGCAAAGTAAACACCCAAGGAAATTCTGAAGGTAAAACTGTGAGGACTAGTTATTTGCAATGTCAGTACTAAGTCTTATAAACTAATGGCTTTCAAAGAAAGGCAAAAGTACCTACACTCTGAATGGTGTGATGTTCCCATCAAGGCACAGAGAGTTAAATGTCTAAATCCCTGTATGTTGACATGAGAATACACCATAAACAACTCCAGGAACTAATTTCCTGTACATGAGCTAAGAAAGAATAAAAGGTAGAAATGTGCCTTTTTAACTCACGGTAAAACCCAAAGTACGGCTATTCCACCACTTTCCATTGGTGACTAACATTACAACTTGGTATTTAAAAAATAAATATATGTTTTAAAAAATCATCACTGGTGGTTTAGTAAACATGATTACAGTAGAGCCGGTTGGACTTGATTCACAGAGCAATGTTGCACACTGTACATAAATTATTTTCAGCACTTTTTTGTTTGGAAAGGACAAAACAGTGTAACGGCTAGAGCTCTCGCCCATTCCCAACACTCCTATGCCTAAGTGTCAAATTACCACACTATTGCAATCAAATACATTAATTCTTCTCCTTTCCCAGCACCCTCAGGTTATCGGAATGGCAGTGGTTTTGTGCACAGAACTTACGCTATTGCAGTTCACTTTAACGTCAACACTAAAACTGGCAAGAATAAAGTAGAGGGCTCACCCCTTTATAAATTATTTTTATTTGACTTGCTATAAATAATTCTTAAACACAATTAGTGACAAGGAATAAAGTTCACATCTGTAACAACTAAAAATGGAATGTACAAACAATTAAGACCAGACAAACAATGCCACTAGCAGTTGGATCTGCAAAGCACATGGCCCACGCTGCAGTTCAGCTCCTAATGAGAGTTAGAAACTCTTCCCGAGTCTTTGGGTCTTCCCGGAACACGCCCAGCATCGTGCTGGTCACGGTTTTGCTGTTCATTTTCTGTACCCCTCGCATTACCATACACATGTGTCTACAAAACAAGACAGCAAAGGTGGTTTAAGGAGTAGACAGGTGCTGGTTTGGTTTTTAAAACAAAAAGCAGGCCAAAACATTCATTTCATTTTACAGTTACCAAATGTGTCAAAATATCACACTTCTTAGACAAATTGGATCTGATTTTTTTTTTTTTTTTTTAACTTTTCTTTGTCTTATTCTTTTCAGTGGTTAAGTCCTTAATGCATCCAGCAGAAGGGAAAACATGGAATTTTCATCCTGGGTGAAAATGACATAAAGTATTTACAGAGATACATAATTTCTAAATAAAAGGAAATTCACTTGATTCACCTTCATTGCCAAAACAGTATGATGCTAGCTTAGGTGTTCAGAGAATATTCAAGTGTGCTGGCCTTGCCAGGCAGAGTCTCCATAATGGTGATCACAGTGAGTCTCGGTTGGCAACCTGGTGAAGTCAGACAACATATCCAGGACAGAGCTCATGCCACACCGGTAGAATGGACGGAAACTTTGCCCACAGGACGTGTGCAATTCTCATAATTCATTCTAGCTTAAAGAAGTTTCTTCACTTGGTCTTTGTACCAATTCTTAGTTTTCTCTAGTTTATTTTTTAAATGTATGAAAAAATATTACAAAAACTTGGCTTGGAACGATAAAGAGCTAAAGAAACCAAGAGAAGACATATAACACTACTGGTTGTGCAAACTACTGCACCGAAGCTTAAGACTCCCTACACCTCCACACGACCCCCGCAACATACACACAAAAGTCTCCCATGCCCTGCTTCCTACATAAGTCCCACCATAAATTAAAGGTAAAAGGACTTTACTCTCAGAGACAGAAACCAACAGTGATGGCGTCAATTGGGTAGCATCACCCACTGCTAGAAAAAGGGTGCAGCACTAAATATCAAGATCATTTTTCCTGCACCAGTATGACATTACTGGAGACAGGTACAGACTTACGTTGCTTCAACCACCACCCCAACTCCAGCAGGTTGCAAGGCTTCTGTGATGGCCACGGCTATTTGTTTCGTAAGGCGCTCCTGAACTGTGGATGCGACAAGGAGCTTAGTGCACAAGTCTCACACAGACCAAACCAAAGAAAACCAAATCCATTGCCATCGAGTTGATTCCGACTCACAGCAATGCTATGGGACAGAGTAGAACCGCCCCATAGGGCTTCCAAGGCTGCAATCTTTATGGAAGCAGACTGCCACATCTTTCTCCCACAAGCACCTGGTGGGTTTGAACCGACGACCTTTTGGTTAGCAGCCGAGAGCTTAACCATTACGCCACAAGGGCTCCTTCTGACACAGACAGATGCCTGAAAACGCTTTTTCGTTTTTTCAAGTCTAGGATATTTGAAATCTTAAAAAGCTGACTTCTGTGACATTTAATACCCAAGACCCACCAGCTTTTACCAGTTTGCTTTGTCTACTGACTGGGCCAAAAGGAGGCCTCTGTTCAGGTCCCCACCTGTATCTTCAGGTGCAGTGCAGGTGCTGAAGAGATGTCAGCATCAGTTGGAGGAAGGGATTAGAATGGCAATTGTTTCTTATGCGTGCAATAAAACCAACAGAATATTGGTAACAAGCACCTCCAGGGAGGTAAAGTACAGCAAATAAATAAATAGCCTGAAACGGGATTAAGAGGCTAAAGTCCAATTATTAAATTGTACTTGCAGCAATGGTGAAAACCATTTAACCTAAATAATGCAGCTCCTATGCTGAACAAAACAACTTGTCTTTGAATACAGACAAGAGTGTTTACTGCAGCATCGTACCCCCTCAAAGCTGACAACATCCTCAAATGTCTATCAGAGCAGGGACTGGTTAAATCAAGTTGAGGCACAGCCATACGAAGGAATGTTGAACAGCCATCAGAATGAATGAGGTAGTTTTGTGTATGTGCGAAAACGTGTTTAAGATTTGCTGAGTGAAAAAAAGTAGGGAAAGAAGAAAGCGTAACCCGGTATGTATAATTTGAGCCCGTTTGTGTTTAAATATAATAAAAATTAATTGATTTTTAAATGTTGGTATATGCATAGAAGAAATGTAGAGGAATGTGCAAATATAACTGATTTATTTTGGGGGCTTGATACATAGAAGACTTTTATATTCCTATTTTTAATTTTTATAAGGCATGTTAGTATACTTGTAATAAGAAAAGAAAAAAATACTTTTTATATAAGACAAAAACACTTTTATAAAAGAAAAATAAGGATTTTAAAAGTTTACCTTGTAATCTTCTACTATAGATTTCTACAATCCTAGGAAAGAAAAGAATAGTTTTAGTTAATCATAAATTGAAGCAAACCCTGTAAGGCTTCCTCATGAGACAAAAACTTTGTTGAAGCAATTCTGGGGTGAGGGTGGAGAATTAATGCTTATTATTCCTGAAGAGGACAGACAGACATAAGAGCCACAGGTAAATGAGAGAAGACCTAAAGGAGACCACCAACCACCACACCTAGTGGTGCTTCCTCGTGTCCCCAAAGAGAGAGATTTTAAAACTCTCCAAGTGTAAAAATCACTTACACAATTAGAAATAAGTAACAAAATTTTAAAGCTCCCAAGTGATTAGTTTTAAAGCAAGTCTCCTGTTCTAATGAATCATATTGTTTAATCAGAGCTTAAAGTTCAAGTTAAAAATAAAAAGACTTTGTCAATAGCAGACCACCCTCAACTACTACAGCAACTCAACCTATTAGAATAATCAGATTAGAACTGACTACAGACTCCTCAGACATCTCTTTGTAAGATAGGTTCTGTGAGTATTCAATATGGTCAACCCTCAGAATAAAAGTCACCTGATCTCAGCTTATCCCACAGTCTGTCACGTGCCAAAGTTTCCCCTTTGAACATCTCTAACTCCAGTTGTGAAATGTAAAAATGGCCCTGAGAATTACCCATTTGAGGATGACAATTCACATTTCACTGGCTAGTAAATTTTATACTGCCAGGACATTGAGGGCATTTTCTTTAAAATGTGGCCTTGAAGTCATGAACTGGGACTCGGTTTAGGGATCATCTCCCCTGTGAGGCATTTTCTGGCTCTTCCCTCCACTATTCCCCTCAGATAAAACTGAAAACTGCTCCTTTATTCCTGTTATAGCCAACGAAGTCAGTAACAAGTACGCCACCCTCTTTACCACTTAACTGAGAGCTTCCTGAAGGCAGAGCCATTCTGAATCTTCTTTGTGCTCCCAGTTGGTATGCAATAAAGTATCAAAGGAGTACAATTATGTGTTTTTATTTTGAACAACAGCAACAACAACAAAAAAAACAGAATGGATGGTTTCTAAGCCCTTAGATACAAAATGTGTCATATTTATTGTTGGGTCAAATTTCTGTGTACATTACTTCTGATCTTTTTTCAGGTAATTACTTTCTGTTATACAAGTAGGCTTCTTGTTGTGAGCTGCCATGAAGTCAGCCCCCAACTCATGGTGACCCCATGCACAATCAGATCAGACCGTTACGATCCACAGGGTTTTTACTGCCTGATTTTTTGAAGGTCACCAGGGCTTTCTTCCTAGTCTTAGTCTGGATGCTCCACTGAAACTTGTTCAGCATCACAGCAACACACAAGCCTCCACTGACAGATAAGTGGTGGCTGTGCTTGAGGCGCATTGGTTGGGAATCCAGCCTGGGTCTCCCACATGGAAGGAGAGAATTCTATCACTGAACCACCACTGCCTATACGAGTAGGCAGATAACATCAATCAAAAAAAAAAAAAAATCGTAATGTATTTCCTCTGATATTCATTTCTTTTTCTCAAGTAGAATTTCGGGTACACTATTAGACAACAGTGGTGATATTGAGCATCCCTGCTTTGCTCCAGAGTTTAACAGGAATGCCTCTAATATTTTACCACTGCCACAGTGCTTGCCTGTTTGCAGTAGATAGCCACCCTCATGCCAAAGGAGGATTAGTCATGCAGATGTGTACTGAGTGCCTGCTATGAATATAATTATGTGGTGAACACGGTCCTTATGCTCATGGAATTTATAATTTCTTATTCCTAGTTTATTGGTTTTCTTTTCTTTTTCTAGTCAGGAGTAGGCGTTGGACTTATTTTATCTTTTCAGCTTTAATCATATGGTTTCCCTGAATTTATTTTTTAAAAATCTTTATTTCACCCTCATTCTTAAAAGATAATTTGTTGAGAGGTATTTGTTGGGAATAGAATTCTAGGCTAACACTAAAATTTATCTGTTTTCTGCTTTTCAATATTGCTGTCGGGGAAACAGTTGTCAGTCTAATTGTGATTTCCTTGCAGGTAACTGATACTTTCTCTGTGGCTGCTTTTAAGATATTTCAGTATGTGTATTTCGGCACAATGGTTAAGAGCTCAGCCGCGAACCAAAAGGTTGGCAGTTTGAATCTACCAGTCGCTCCTTGGAAACCCTATGGAGCAGTTCTGCTCTGTTCTATAGGGTCACTATGAGTTGGAATCGACTTGATGGCAGCAGGTTTGGGGTTTTTTTTTTTTTTTTTTTGGTGGTGGTGGTGTTCTTTTGGCAATCTATTTCCATAAAGATTACAGCCAGAAAAACTCTATGGAGCAGTTCTACTCTGTAACATATGGGGTTGGGGGTTGCCATGAATTGTGGGCCAACTTGACAACAATGAACAGCAACATTCTGCTGTTTACTATGTTGTGTCTAGGTGGGGATTTAATTTTATTTGTCCTGCTTGGGATTCATTAGGCTTCCTGAATATGACTGATATTTTTCATGTGTTCTGAAAAATTTTTCCCGCCATTATTTTCTCTGATGTTACATCCTTCCCATTGCCTCTCTTATCTCCAGGAATTCAAACTAAATGCATATTAGTTGTCCATGTCTCTTAAATTCTCATTTTTTTCCACTTGTTTCTCTCTGCTGCAGTGTATGCAATTTCTTCAGATCTTTCTTTCAGTTCACTATTTTCAGCGTGCCTAGTCTGCTATTTAGAGTACTGGGTTTTTGCTTCACTTATTTATTTTGATAAGTTATATTTGGTTCTTTTTTCAGATCCGCATGGTCAATTCTGGAAGTTTCTTATTCCTTGGTCAAACTTTCAATAGTCTTATTTTTTTTAATACACTTGTTTTATAGTCTGTCTCAGGTAACTCCAGTATCCATTCTTTGTCCATTTCTTTCAGCTGACTCTGACTCATGGTGCCTTGTTTTCTTTTACTTTTGGTGATCTCATGTTCCTTGGACTTTACTTGTGCAAATTTTTTGAAGACCGTAAATAAAGTGCATTTTTTTCAGAGAACATGGGCTTGTATCTGCTAGATGCCTGGAAGGACTACTTACTTGGAGCCGTTATATTTTTATTTATTAATTATTATTATTATTATTGAGAGCCATTTTAAACTAAATTATCATCTTGGATTTTTTGAGGACCACACAAGTAATGTGAATTTTGACCCCAAACCCTTGTGAATTCATGCCTATGGATTCTTTTTCGTGCTCTCCCCAAAACAAGGCTAATAGGTATCTCCCTTGACTAAGGGTAAGGCTGGGAGGCCAGGGCCTAGACTTTGGCTCTAGCATTGGCTAATTCCAGAGGATTCTCACTGGAACTGCCTTATGTTTTCTGCTAGTGTGTTAAATGGTCACACACATCTTATCTTGGTATTCTGTACTATGAGGGATGTCATTTAGCATCTAGTTCACCATACTCCTAGAATTCAGTAGTTGTCATAGATTATAATTTAAACCATTCCTGTATTCTTGAAGTAAACTTCCCCGGGCCATGATGAAAATAGTACTTCCACCAGCCTGTTGGATTGGGTTTTTTAGCATTTAGTATTTTTACAACTACATCTCTAACTGAGAATAGTCTTTATTTCTCTTAAAATTGTCAGGCTTTATTATTAGGAATAGGCAGCTTCATCAAATTAATAGTGTAGCTTTCCAGGTTTTTCTATGTTCTTGAATTATTCATACAATATGGGAATTAGCAGTCACTTTAAAGTTTGAAAGAATACGTATAAAATTGCCTGGGTTGAGCCCTTCTCTCCCCTCCACCAACATTAATTTTACTTTTTCTAATAGTTATGAGTTTATCCATGTTTTCTAATTCTTGGTTCATTTTCTCTCTCCCTCCACCTTTTAAAAATTTTATTTTAAAACATTTTGTGTTTGAAGCATGTTCTACCTTGCTTCTTATTTTTAATTTTAGTGATTTTTTTTTTTTTTTTAATTATAATGGGGCCATGGTTGGATACTGGTTTTAACAACTTTATTTAAATAGTTATTTACTGGTCTTATAACATCGATCCTATGCCAGGTCGTCCGTTTTCTCTTTTGCTTTATGTAGCATGTTTTCTCTCTCTTCTTCCTTCTGACAACTAGAAAAGTAATCTGGTGACACTCTTGCAGGAAGAACCCATGGATGGTATCATTTAACCACTGCAAATCTTAAAGAGTATTTTTGATGACTTCATATAACTTGACTATACTCGACACCAGGCTGCAAATTCTCAAGTGTGATAGAGCAAAGGGCATGGGATGAATAGGAACAGATGGAGCCAGATCAGTGAGACTTGCCTGCTCAAGTAAGGAGTTCGAACTTTATCCTTACAGCTTTTAAGATATAAGCAGCAATGTGATCAAATCCACAATTTAAAAGAAAACATCCTAGCAGCATGAGGGCACATTTGGAGATTAGAGGCAGGACGGATTTAGGAGTCTAACACTTAATCCAGGAGAAAGATAAGAAAGGCCCGACAGACGGCGGCAGGCAGCAAGGACAGCAAGAAGGCAGCATAGTAACAGATAGAAGTGGGGTGCTGCAGGAGGTTAGTGGGTCTCACTCCTTTCCCAAAATATACTGCAGATGCAACAAAGATTTAAATAGAAAAATGAGGCCATGAAAGAACTAAAAACAATGAATTTGTGATTACATAAAAGTTTTAAACCTCTTTAGCAAGAAATACTACTATAAAACAAAATCAAAAGACAAATGACAAGCTCGGAAAAATTATTTGCAGCACCTGACCTGACTACTTTCACCTCCAAAGAGCCCGTGCAAATCAGTAATAAAAAGACAAGTAACCCAATGGAAAAATTACCAAAGGCTAGGAACAAGACATTTTCTGAAAAGATTCAACTTCACTCTACTAAACAAATGCAAATTAAGACAATAAATATCATTCTTCATTTATCAGTTTGGCAAAGATTTCAAAGTGTGATGAAATTCAGTGTTGGCAAAAATGTGGTGACACACACAATCTTTATCTGCTATTAGAGTTTAAATTGGTATGATCTTTGTGGAGGGCGATTTGGTAATATAAAAAATCCATCTACCCTTAACCCAGCAGGTTCCGTTCTACTATTTTACAAAACCAAAACAAAACCCACTGCCGTCAAGTCAATTCCGATTCATAGTGACCCTATAGTACAGAGCAGAACTGCCCCATAGGGTTTCCAAGGCTGTAATCTTTATCAAGCAGACTGCCACATCTTTTTCCCTCGGAGTGGCTGGTGGGTTCCAACCACTGACCTTTGGGTTAGCAGCCAAGCACTTAACCGAAGGGCTCCTTAATTTATCTTACAGGTAAGATTAAAAAGTATGCAGAGATAATATGTAAAAAGATATTCACCGAAGTATTTTTTTTTCTTTTTCGGCAATAGTCTCAAACTGCAAACTCTATTTATCTATATCAAAGGCTGGTTGAATGAATTATGCTAATTAATGAAAGATACTATGTAACCATTAAAAGGAACTTGGACTTTTTGGGCTGAAAGGTGTTGAAAGAATTTCATAGTATTTTAAACTAAAAAAAAAGAAAGCATGTTGTAGTACAGAATAGAGGGTGTGCTCTCCCATTTTTTTTGTTCTGCTAGTTTTAAAGAGCTATATGTTTGTGTTTGCATAGAAATTTTCCAGGAGGATAATGAAAAAGATCTCCAGTTTTAACTTTGGGAAATGGAAATAGGAAAGAAAAACTTTCACTTTACTCACTCACTTGTATTTAAAGTTTAACTGGTGAGTATATTACTTTTATAATAGATAGGGGTGGGGTAGGAATGTTCCCTCTGTAATCTAATGACCACTCTCATTTCTATCTCCCAGTCACCCCTGCCTAAATCCCTTACTGCCATCATTCAACCTAGTCCCTATCCACTGGGATATGCCTTGCTCCTACCCTCTTATTTGCCTTTGCTTATTCACTAACTAACTCAGAGAAGTCCTGGTGGCATAATAGTTAAACGCTCGGCTGCTAACTGCTAACCAAAAAGTGGAGGGTTCAAATCCACCAACCACTCAGTAGGAGAAAAAACCTGGTAATGTGCATCCATGAAGACTATAGCCTAGAAAACCCTATGGGGCAGTTCTACTCTGTCCTAAAGGGTCAATATAAGTCGGAATCTACTCGACGGCACACAACAACAGAGGAATTTCTCCCTTTTAGAATTCTGCTCATCCCTCCACCTGTGGGTCTCTTTAACACTGTCTGGTGGCAGCCATCTTGACTCCTCTGAACTGGGAGCTCCCAATTAGGCATTACTGTGGCACTTTCTTGCTGCCTGTACTGTTGGTCCTCCTTGAGGGTAGTGGCTGTGTCCTACTTCTCTCCAGGTGACACAGGAGCTGGCACAGTGCCGTTTCACAGTAGGTACTCAATAAAGAGATTAACTGTGGCTACCCAAGGCTCTACAGTTCTAAATTCAAGATTTAATTATGTTCACTCCATTATTCTAAGGCAAGAAAACTAACACATATTAAATGGATTTTCAGCAACAAAAGGAATTTCTATTCAATTGAAGTTTACTCTAGAATTCTACTAAGTTGAACCAGATCAACTCACTTCTGGCATTTTCTTGCTACTTAAGGCTCTACTGTTTGATATTTGACTTCACTGGCACTGAAAGGTCATTCGTTTAAAGTCAAGCATATAGTAAACTTCACATACAAGATTAAAATGAACATCGAAGTTTTGCCAAGACATTCAGCTTTCTTTGATTTTTAATCTTCATTCCCTAAATAGTCTTTCTTCTTATGAGGAATAAGCAGTTCATTTAATAGACTCTTTCTTCAATTTTTTTTACAAAATATCTGACGTACACTCAGTTCTTTGGTTTTAGTGCTCCACTTTTTTTTTTTTTTTTAAGTGTTAATCCTATTAGTGGAAGGTCAAATTCCCAATCCAATAATCAACTTCTTTGTATTGTTTCATAAAGCTGAATTACTTGAGATCTTTTCTTTCCTGTAGCCAAAGATTATTCCCTTCTACTTGGGAGTTGCCGTTTATTTCATGATCTCATTGGATCACTCTACAATCCATTTCCCATAAAGTGTTACCCATTGTATACACAGCATGGTCTTCTACCAGAAAAAAACCAAAGCAGTTGCTGTGGCGTTGATTCTGACTCATGGCTACCCCATGTGTGTCACCGTAAACTATGTTCCATAGGGTTTTCAGTGGCCAATTTTTCAGAAGTATATTGTCAGGCTTTCTTCCAAGGCACCACTGGGTGGTTTCGAACTGCCAAGCTTTCAACTAGCAGCTGAGCACTTGACTGTGCCACCCAGGGGCTCTGTGGTCTTCTAGAGAAGGTCTAATATGGAATAATAAATACAACATGGAAACTACCCAATACACCTTTTACATAAGGACAGGCATCAGCAGTGTCAGAATTTCTATATGGCAAAGGTGTGCTGGCAAGCTTGCTAGAAAGGGGAGCACCAGGGGACTAGGCCTAAAGCTATTTGCACAGCAAGCACACTGTTTCTACTTAGACTATATTAATAAACAGTAAGAATAACAAATTTTAGTAAGGACACTTTTACTCACAGTTGATATGAAAAAGATTTTATTTATTATTATTTAGGAGTAAATTATTGGGGAAAGAGGTGCTAACAGTAATTCTAGCAGGATTAATTACTCCGTCATCACCACCACCGCAACCCATTTCTAAGCCACCCCTTGGCACTGCCACTGGGTACAGATCACAGAAAGAAGCCAGTGAAGCAATCACAGCCACCATATAATATTATCCTTTCATGGTGCCTGTCTGGTGGTAAGGTTGCTGGACAGAATGAGGTTGGAAACTGAAGAAGTTAAATTTCTCTCTTCTACTCACTTTCTCCTCAATTCCTGGAGGAAATGAATGAGAAAGTTGAAGTGAAAACAAAGTAAAAGAACAGCTGTGGAGGTCAGCTGTCAGCTTGCTGCAGTATTTACAGATTCCAAGAGAGAACTGAAAAAGATCAGGACCACCACTGCAGGATCGTGATGAATGCCATGTCCAAATGGAAAAACAGCAGGATCACATCAGGACCACAGAATAGTCAGTTGGTCGCAAAGAGTCAATTGTTCCAATTTTAATTAAATCACTATAACCTCTATCAAGTTATTCAAACTTAGCTTGATTTATTTAAAAAATAAAAACAGGGCTGGAGGACCCTTGACTCTATGTTCAGTGCCTATCCCTTCATTTTGTTTTTAACACTCACTCAACATATGCACACTCACATACACACACACACCTCTACCAATATTTCCCTATCACACAGGACATACTAAGTCTATACAAAGAAATTACAACAAAAAGGGATACTTAGAGGCAATAAAATATTGGTGGGTAGGGTAGGGCCTATCAAGGTTATACAAACACTGACTCTCAAGTTGATTTCCAGGCAAACACAGATGACCACATATGTATATCACCCCTCCTTCCTAAAACTCACATAAAAATGGTGGTAAAGGAATTTATTTTTAAAGGCATAAATTTACAAGGATAAAGAATGGAAAAGAAAACTGTAACAGAAAAGAGAGAAATAGAAGAAAGGAGAGAACACTGTCTTGGAGTACAGCTGAGCAAAGTCAAGGAAGGCACAGCCCTGTGTCTGCAGAGGCAAAGAAACTAGACATGAATTGACTAGCCCTGCAGGACCCCAGAGAGATGCCCAGAGGTACCAAAGTACAGTGGAAGGTAGGATAGAAGCTGGAGGTCCCTGCAAACAGTGACTTGCAGTTAGACCCCTGCCCACTATTTCCTCTCCCACCCCTCACTATTAGCTAACCGCCCTTTAAGGGGACGGGCTGACCTGACTGTAACCTTGAGTCCTCTTCAGTCAGTGAAGGCTCTACAGAGAAAGACGTGAGTTAAGACTTCAAGAATGTGCCCTGGAAAAAGTGACAGGAGGTGGGGGTGGAGGCAGGCAATAGGAAAGTGAGACAAAAAGGGCATTTATATTTCAGGGCCTCTGAGTCTTTTGCCTCTACGACTATATATTTTAAGTAGCAATGAGAGTTCCAAGTTAGATAGATCTGTGCTGGTGAAGACAGAAATCCTTATGAGATTTTCACCGTATAGGGGCAGGTCCTATAAACCTTTTTTCCTATTCAAAACACAGTCATACTTACCTCGCAAGCTTACTGAGGCCAAGGACTTGCTTGTTAGGAAGATAGCCAATATGAACCTTCGGAGAAGAGAGAGAAATCATGAGCTATGTGAAAATATGTCACTTCTTTCTGGCAGAATAAGAAAATATAGGAAGAATATAGTACACTCGTATATAATTCATCAAAATGAAAATGTATCTTTAAAAATCTTGAAGCATTTAGACTCAGAAAATCAAGCACTTACCTAAGCATTTTTAAAATTACATGAATGCAGAAAAAGGGAAATATATGAGAATCTGTCTATTAATCAAATAACAATTTTTAAAACATACTCTGATATTTCCTGGTGAAGTTAAAAACTCTTGATATAAATCTGAAAGTCTTTCCTCTACTGAAGGGGGAAACATTTTCAAGAAAATGAAAATGATCCTGTAGCAACATTATAATGTATCCAGGAAAGCCTCCTATGAAGGGCAGAAATTGTAAATATAAATATTGCCACTCCACCCATCACAGTGGCATTAAAAGCCCCACCAGAGTCCTGTCGCACAGAAGGTCTCCCTGCCCTTTGTTGTGCTTGGTTGTCCCATTTCTAAGCTGCTAGAGGTCACTCTCTTCCTGACAGCTACCACCATGACTCAGCAAAACCTGGATCCTCAGAATTACATTCTTACAGAACCTACTATAAGACAAAGCCATTTCTATAATACTTAAAAAGTATTGGCTAATATTTAATATGTAAATGTTACCTCTTCTTGAGGCAAGCATTAAGTTTGAGAAAACATTAGTTCCCTAAAAAGGCTAATAAGGTAAATGCTCATTTGTAAGTGATCAGCTAACCCTGTATCAAATTATCAACTCAGTTGCATCATGGTTTGCCAATATTTGTTTCATTTGTTCATCTAATATTTACTGTACATTTTTATAATTGTAGTAATCAGTAGCGATGTTTTATTCTCCATTAGCACTATGCTTTAAAGGTTTGAGAATCCCACCTCATCGCCTTGCTAGTCAGCAGGAAAAAGTAAAGAAACACCTGAAGGTTGAGGAGGTGGGAACAAGATGGCACAATAGTCAGTAGTCCCTGCTTCCGGTGGACACTCTTACAACTAAGACCCGAAAAAACAAGTGAATTGATTATATATGGCAATCTGGGAGCCCTGAATATCAAAGGTAGAGTTGAGGAACCGGACTGAGTGGCAGGGTGAGGGAGAGGGTTCGGAATCAGTGAGGAGTTGCCAGACCTGACCCGGCGAGGGCCTAAGCCCTTCAGGCTTGATCAGCTTGGGGATGAGCAGTGAGGTAGGCAAGCAGCGGTGCTCAGGAGGTGTGGAAAATGCCCTCAGGAGAGACCCAGAGCCAAACAGTCTACAAGGCCACCCAGAACGAGAGAGAAGCAGTCCCGGATTGGCGAAAGATAAGTACCTGCATACTACATGCATCAAAAACAGCCCCCTTAGGGAAAAACCTCTCTCCCATTTACCTCCCCATTCCCTGCTCTGCACTGGGTCCCAGACTGGCTTCAGCAGTTGCCAAGTCCCCTGGGCCGGAAGTAGGATCTGTCACATGCCTGGAGCCATTCTCCTTGCCTTGGAGAGTGAACAAACAGAGGAAAAAATAAACTTCCGGCTTCCCTAAGCCAGGAACAAAGAGTAGGCACAGCTCCTTTGCCTAGGCACAGGCATAAGGGATCCATGGACTTTGAGTGCTTTCCCCCTTCATAGACTTGTGTGGGCCCATCTCAGCAGTGTAGGCCCTCATTACCGTAGTACAACAGGGTATATACCAGAAGTCTAACTTCAACTGTTTCAGCTGGGAAGTGATAGTTTCTTGACATTTGACACTGCTCTGCCCATTAAGCAGGGTCTTCACCTACCCACATCAGGGGCCTGATGACCGGTGGCTCCACCCATGCCACTTGGCCAACTGCAAGAGGGGCCCATAAGAGGTGCCCCCCAGTCCTTACACCCAGCAGCATTACATGCTCATAGTCCAGCTGCGAAACCCACCCACCTATGCGCTCTAGGAAACAGGGACACGCCTTCCTCCTGAACACTCAGGCGGCCGTCAGCCCCCTGCCTCGCTCAGAGTGTGTCCCCCTGCTGCAGCCAGATGCCTGTGCCTACACCAATCACCCATGCCTGTCTAGGACTGTTAAGTGAGAGCCTACACCACACACTTGGTGTCTATCTACCTGGCCACCTGAGCTGAATCCATACAGGAGGAGTGGGCAGACTCCTGACCTCACATACCTAGTAACAGATCTAACCACCTAGCAACAGGACATTACAGATTCAACGATGCCAATAATCAAACTAGGTCATAAGAGCAGCCTATTTGGGCATACAAAACAAAACAAGAAGTTAGGACACAGTAAGCAAACATAAAATAAATAAATATAATAATTTATTGATGGCTCGGAGACAACAGTCAAAATCAAATCACATAAAG